AGCAGTAGAAAAAAATGGGATCAGTGTTTTTGATCTCGATGCTGTAGGTGGGTGGGAAATCAAGGACAGTGTCGACGGGCTCGAAACCGCTGAAGAAACCAGTTTTACCCTGCCCCGTCATTTCGTATGGGATGCATGGGTAGCCGTATTCTGCGCGGACGACACTGTGGTTTAGTGGATAGAAGGCAAACTCTATTATCTTTAGCAAGTTAGTATTTCCTCATCTGTTGATATGTGTACGGAGGCCCGATCGAGATGATGAATGAAACTTCTACTTACATCGCCTACACTGGCATTTGTCGACTCGGGTCTGAATTTGTGATCCGCTAGACCGACTGAAATAGTGTGTGTCTGCGCAGCTGCAGAACTCGTCGAGGTTGACGCGCTTGCTGTGCTCAACGAGGCTGTAGGACTGTCACTGCTGAGGCCATCGTTGCCTTGCGCTAGACATATCGAAGGAAGCAGACTGAACAGCAAAGACAAGATGGAGAATACAGAAACTCGGGACAACATCATCAGTGCTGCGATCGTCAAGATAGCAGTATGGAATCTGAGAAGGCTTGCGATCGTGCAGAGAGGACGACGGAAGCTTCAAGAGAAAAGAGGACCGTGGGACTGACGAAGACACCAGAGTGGAAATCAATATTCAAAGACGCAATACGCCAGCCTATCATGGCAGGGGCGCTACAAACAAGGGATCGTAAACAGACCAAGCGGCCAAATTGACGAAAAGAACGGCACAGGATGAGACATGTACGCCATAATCATGGTGGTACGTTTCTGTGGCTGTGGCGTAGACATGAGATTGCTATTCGCTGAAAGGCGGCTAGAAGTCGGCCTCAAGGGATGCTACGACAAAGAGTTGTGTCTTTTGCAAGGGTTCGGTGACCTCATGTGATGATCGCAAGGGCGACAAAGGTCAACAAAGCTCATCTGTCTTGTATCTCCACTAGCTATGCATCTGGGAATGTGGCCACCGTACAATCTGCTTGTGAAACGGACCAGACATCTGCTTTTGCATGTGCCCACTCGGACGCGTAATTTGAAGTTTGGCAATGGCTAAGGATGCGACTGCCCCGCCGCGTCGCAAGACCAAGGACTACGTGCATGTAAGCAGAACAACATCACTCATAGTCAATGGCACAACTCGAGGCGTTCAATCCCGCATCAGTAAAGGATGACGGAACGCGTTCCTTACTCGCACGACATGTAGGAGAAAAAGACCCAGAACGGAAAAGCACCTGAAGGTATTGAGTTTTTTAACTGCTATTCACAGCTGAGATATAAGGAGAGGAGAGGTCCAAAAAATCGTACCATATGGTGATAACATAGCCCAATATGGCTTGGTATATTTCGCGCTGTTCGCTCGCATTAAATCATAAGCTGTCTACAGCGTCCATCATCAAAGTCGTATGCTGTGGCAGCCTGGGGTCATCGAGAAGGTTGCGCTCGTCAGTGTCGCTAACGACACCGCGTCGCACGCGACCTACTCTGTGTTATGTTGGCCAGATGCAAAAGTGCAAAGCTGAGCTCTCAGCGGAGACCCGGGTCGCCAAAACCAAATGGATCGTTGCTGGAGGAGCTATTGGACCCCGAAACATAGCCCGACGGTGCCGCAGATGCTTGTTTGCCAAACCCAGGGTCTGGCAAAGGATTCCAGACCGGAAAACCCTCAGGTGGCTGACTCTCTCCTAGTGGTTTACCACGAGCATAGTCCACGAGACTGCCGTTGATGCCAGTAAGTGCCCAAGCAAAGACGGCGACATCGCGAATGCTCTGCATGAAGTTGTTCTGGAATTCCATAGACGGCCCTGCCTGCACCATAGCCGGGTGCCGAGCGCCAAGAGGGTATTGGGGCATTTGCTGTGGAGCAGGATGGAACACGGGTTGTGTTGCCCATGGCGCGGCGTAGATACCATTGTATTGCTGTGCTGGCTGGGCCACCGGCATGGTGCCTGGCAACATTGGGCGGGCACGACGTAGACACACAACCAAGCCATCTGAGGTGCAGGATATGACAGCCTCGAGTTCGATGGGATCGTCGCGGATTTCGGAGCGAGGCGAACTCACGGACGATAACGACGAGCGGGCAGCGGATCCACCGAACATGGCTTGATGGGTATTGTTGGGGTCATTGTTCCCGCCAGAGTTGGTGCGCGACGCAGACCGCTCCTCACTGTTATCCGTGGTGCGGTTTGAGTCTGACGGATGTCTTGTGCCGTTGGACGTGGAATGGCCGTCAAGGTCCACTCCGCCTTCAGATTCATCGTCGGAGCCCGTAACATCCGTCATGATGTCATCTTCGCTCTCAGACGAGGAAGCTTCAGGCGCATCGTCCTGGCGCGGGTCCCGGAAGAAAAAGCGCATGTATGCAATGGAATCGTTGCCTTTGGCCGACTCGAGACAGCGGACTGCATCTTCAAGACAATTGGGAGCAATGCAGTAATAGAAGCTGCGTCCCTTCATAGCCTCTCCGGAGATGCCAATGATTTGCTCGATCCCACTGGTTGCGTACATGACGGTCAGGGTACGCGTGAACCTGTTAAGGAACAAGGCAGCTCGCGGCTCATGAGTCTGATCATCGGGGCCGAGGTCAAACTTGCTGGACAGGTGAGATAACATGTGGTAGCGCGGGTCCTTTGGTGACGAGGCGAATAGCTTGCGCACTATAGGAGCCTCGACTGCGCGTTCTGATTGGCTGGAATCAGCATGACGCAGGGCCCAAACGGGTTGAAAGACTTACTTTGGCTCTGCATGCCATGTCTGTAGATGCTGGTGCAGCAAACGAGGACATCGTAGACGACGGAGAAGCAGCATTCACAACCGACCCATTCGCCCTGGCGGTTCTTCAGGCGGCAATAGGACAAGACAGCAGCCTTGTCCAGTCTCACGCCGCGGCTGTGGTGAGCTCTTGCCAGCGGGAGTTCCTCTGGATGGAAAAATTGCCACACGGACCGATTGACTACCTCGTCAGGTGTATGACCGAGGATGTCGACAATGGAGTCGGAAGAGTACAATATGTGGGCGTCATCGGAGAGGTCTGTCTTGGGTGAGAATTGGCAGGCAAAAGGCAGGGTCGACGTGACAAACCGTGAATGGTGATGAAGGTGGTATCCATGGTAGCAAGAACGGGGGTAGTGGTCGTTCCTGCTCTACCGCACGCGCCCTGGTCTGTCGAATCTAATAACTCGGTCTGGGACGGGCGGTGGAAATAAGAGCAAGTCGGGCAGTAGAGGCGAGGGACTGTCGGCGGGTCAAATAGGCAGGGTCCAGGTGGCACAGAGGCGCACAGGTGCGGGTAAGGTGTCTAGAGGCCGTTCAGGCGGTGCGACCAGAGCACGGGGTGGGGATGGGATGGGATGGGATGCAGATGGCAGGTCGAAACGTATACGAGTCAGGAGCTATGATGTAATGGGCGATCACGAAGCAGCAGGCGCCCCTCACCCGCGACAGGGCAGGCGCGGGCAGCAGCGAGGAAATATATGAGAAAGCTCGCGGACTTGGGCTGCCGGAAGGGGCTAGCAGCGAGCAGTTGGGTCGGGTGCATAAATAAATCAGCGGAGAAGGAGCGGAAGCGTGACGACGGCCAGAATGGCGGGACCGGAGGAGCGCCAACGGGCTCAGCAGCGTCTGTGTCGGCAGGCGGGCCAAAGAGAGGGCGCAGCGAGTGAGTAAGAGGACGGTTGCGACAGGTGGATGTAGTGGAGGATGCGACAGGCGGCGTGGCATGCAAGAGAGGTGCAGAAAGTGAGCTGACGAACTGCTCACCCTTGCCGCGCCCAAGGATCGACGCGAGACGTGTGCGCAACGGCGGTTAGCAGCTCGTCGGCAGCGGCGCGGGGCACCGGCAGTCGCCCTGCACCTCTGGTCGAAGGAGTGCGCATCAGGCCACTCGGGTCAGGACTGCCTCGAGTCGTGCCTCCAACTGTCCGCGCGTTGCACACGCCGGGTGTGCTGAAGAGCCCAACTGTCAATCCATGCGACTGGCCTTGGCGCACCCGACGTCGATGATGCATATCCATATCCATTCCATGGCCGCCCAGGTGCCTGCATGCAAACTTTAGCCTAGCGCCACCAGCACAACCACGGCCAGCCTGCGAACTGCGAGCGGATGCCCCTCCGCCAGCGCTCTGGCAAACCTACCCAGGCGATTGCCGCTGCCCACAGCATCGCCCGGCCTTGGTCGTCCCTGCCTTGGTCGTCCCTGCCTTGGTCGTCCCTGCCTTGGTCGTCCCTGCCTTGGTCGTCCCTGCCTTGGTCGCCCGGCACTGGGTCTAGCGGCGCGTGGTACGGACCTGTTACTTGTCATCCCAAGCCCTCAACCGAACAACATCATCGACGATCCTCCCCAAACTACGCCACAAGCCACATGCAAGACCCTCAAGGCCTCTTTCCACTGCTTCACCGTCTCTGCCTGCGGGCCCCCGCCTGATTGGCGGCACCACCTCCGTCCGCCTGCTGCTCGCCGCATGTCTCTCATTCACCTGTTTGCTGCAAGTGATAGCTTAATTTCCATGACACTAAAAGCCCTGTCCCTCGCCCTCGCTTCTTTCTAACCCCCGATTGGCACACACAACCTTGCACTTACCTTGCACTTGGGCTACCTCACGAGACCCGCGCCCTGCATATCAGCCATTACGGCTGTGCTTTCCGAGCTTTCCCATGGTATGCACGCCAAGATGGACTGCAACTTTGAACTGCCTTCGCTGAGGGCCACTTTGAGACTAGGCGTAACCCATGCCTCTCGTCCTGCGCGTAGCCACCACTAACTCCTCGACAGGCCCCAACCAAGTCTAGGCTGAGCTCTAGTGAGTCAGGAAGCATGCGCGTCAGCCGTCACTCCATGCAATACTCATCACGTTGCAGCTCAGTTCTACGATGTAGACTTCTATCCCTATACCGCTCCCGGCCAGGTCCCTGTTTTCGCCGTGTGCGGAGGTCCATTTGTATGTATCACGCTGTGTGCAGTCTGCCGTCTACTGATTGGCCAAGACCGTCATATGTCGGTGTAAACTTGACAGCAACGGGTCCGTCGAGATCCTGCGGTGGTTTGAAGATGACGAGGCCACTACTGAACACGGCACGTCCGACGATAAAGTAGACACGGACCCTCTGTGCGCGACCTGTCTAACCATCACCAGGTCAACTACAACAGCATCGTATGGTCTCAGGCTGAAAATGGCGACCCGCTCGTCTGCGTCACGGGAGACTCTCGCATCAAGGTCTTGAATGTCCGGACCGGGGAGCTCACAGCAGTACGGGCCATATCACTGATTGTATTGCATCCACTGACCTTGCACCCAGACGCTGATAGGCCATGGCGATGTATGGTTATCATCTGTCGTATGCGGCGAGCTGCCTTCCTAACATCCTACAGTCAGTGAACGATCTCGCCATATCGCCGATAGACCCAACCATTCTCGCCTCCGTGAGCATTGACCATAGTCTCCGAATATGGAGCCTCCACCCCGATCACGAAAAGCAGCCCCTCGGAGCCATTTGTTACGGGCAAGGCCATAAGGACCAGGTGCTTACCATTGTGTGTGACCTGCAAATATACCCAATTAATATACTGATATTGCCAGGCATACCACCCGAAAGGCCAGTACATCCTAACAGCGGGTATGGATACCAGGATCAATTTGGTAGGATGCACCACCCCGGCCTACTGCTTGACAAAGCTCTGACAAGTCTAGTGGGCAGTACCCGAAGACCTCAAGGAACACGCTGGCACCGACAAGCCGGCCATAGTGCACTATCCGCACTTTTCCACTACCGAGATACACACTGACTTCATCGACTGGTAATGATCCCCTTCTGAAACCGACCTACAATTGCTTACTTCATGCAGTGTCCAATGGTATGGTGACTTGATCCTCAGTCATGCCTGTCGCGAGAACAAGATCATACTTTGGGGTATCGATCGATTCAATTCCAATCGGTCTACGCCTCCTCCGCCAGTCCCCACATCAAGCGCGGTCCACAGTAGAACCCCTGTGACAATTCCAGCGAACTCGACCTCAAATACACGGTCGGCATGGGGCGGGCGCTTCCAGAGACTTCTGCAATTCGACTTGCCGCACACGAACCAGTTCTACATTCGCTTCTCCATCTTTCACGAGCTTGGTCGCCATCCGGTTTTGGTTGCGGGCAACGAGAGAAGCAAGACCTTCTTTTGGGACTTACAACGCCTAGAGAAATCGGGTACCGGAGAAGATGACTCCCTGACTTCGAAAGGCTTACCGCTCAGTCTACCTAGACACGTGCGCGAAGGAAGCTCGGCATCTACTGCCTCATCTGCTATCAGTACAGGCTCGGGTAATACCAAGACCAAACAGAAGCGGCTGAATGAGCATTCTCACGATCGAGGCATATCCGACCCCTTTCGCTCGATCAAAGCACACAAGATCGTCGAGACTCCAAAGTACAAAGCCTTCGCGTTCCGTCACTTCTCCTGGAGTCGTGATGGTCAATGGTGCGTCGGCGCCGGTGACTGTGGGACTATCAATATATTCAGCCGTTGGGATTCCCTTCCTCCAATCGATACAGACAGGGAATTACCTACACAGGAGGGTGACGGCCCACAGATCAGTCAGTCCAACCGCACACCAACATCAGCCGCGCGCACGAACGATGTCGGACTCAGCACGAGCATTAACTGACATAGTACGAGTAGACAAAGACATGATCACGGACTCGCTGGACGGCCTATGTGAGGCACATGCACTCCGGCAGCAGATGGCCGCGGATCAAGGGGAACCTTTCGACGAAGACCTGCGACCTCTTCTGGATGAATATGTGTCCAGCTTGCCAAGTCACGAGAGAGATTTCGCACGTTCAATGTACGAGCGGTGATTCAGACTGGGAAGTAAACAGCTGAACACGTGTGGATAGCTGGGTGCGCGGCCCCATAACACAACCACAAATATTCGAACGCGACCGTTAACCTTACTCGTCGGCACGGTCTCAGCTATTGTGACTCACGATAATGGCATAATACACAGTGAATACAATCAATCTATTGTCATTGAGTTACAATAGCTAATCCAAATTACCGAATTTGCGTTTCGGAGGTGACAATAGGAAAGATGTGGAGACGAGATGCTGGTGGGAGTAAGATCATATTAGGGTCGCAGGCAGCCAACCACGTACTAGTGGTTCGTCACCCCAACAATACCAAACAAAAGTTGCCCGTCCTGAAAGCTGTCCCATTTCTCAAATATTCTTTCATCTCTAACACCATTTCCCAAACATTGCGTCGTCTGCCAACTCCATCACAACGTACCGAAACCTTTCGTACAGTACCGACACCCCTCCCAGCGCTATCACAGAAAAGCAATACCATTACTCGCAGTTTTCGGCAAGTCACTACGCCCAGGCAGACTTAAACTAATCATGCACGCTTGCAACACGCAAAACTCACCCGATTCCGCATCTTCCACCATGTCGACTCCCACCACCGCGTCTCCAGACCACGTCGCGGCCACTCCCTCAACAGTCGCAGAGCCCGTACCGCGCGAGAACTCCGTTCTCTGTGGGCACACAGGCTGCACGCGTAGCTTTCCAAGGGATTCAAACATAGCTGCAGGCCACAACGGCGATTACCTCTGCGCTCTACACTGGCTCGATTTATTCGATGCATGCCATGAGTTCTACAATGACTGGTGGAACTATGGTAATGTCCAACGGGGAGCCTCGCCAAATTACACGCCTGAAGGATGATTGCGGGATTGAGGTGGAGAGGAAGAGAGCAGGAGACCAGCGACGCGGTTCTAGGGGCCCGCACAAAATCTCATCAGCAACAGTCACACCCTCTACGCTCATTGTTAGTCTACTGTTGCCACGAGTACTTGCCATGGTCATGGAGAACTCGAAAATCTAGACAAAAAGAAAACCTCCAATTCCCACACTGTCGCGAGTGCGCAGCGCCTCCTCGTCGAGCACATCGGTGAGTGCAGAAACCCCCCACGCAAGCCAGCCCCAAAAAGGGTCTGCAATGTGCGCAGCGCTTGCCGCAAACGCGACCAAAGATACGGCACAGCTGCAGCCCGCGCCAAAATCGATCCCGGTAGCTCTGCCGGAGAAAGAAACAAAAACACAGGAACGCGTTGGCCTTGCGCAGGGACAGCAAGGCTTGCCGGGCATGTATTGTTTGGTACTACTTGCTTTTTTTCGCAACACGTGGGCGCTACCGAAATGTTTTATCTGCACTACACCATACTGCGCTTGCTGCACGGCAACCATGCATCGTCTTTTTGTTTTCGAAGGACGTACAGTACTCGTATCGAGGGAAGCTGCAGGACAGCCATAGATGACCAGGCGAGCGAACAAAGCGACAAGTAGCCCGAAAACACGGAGTACAGTCTGTTTGCTCGCCCATACCACGAGCAGGGGCTTTGTCTGCGTCGAGACTTCAAGCGACGAACAAAGGAGGCAAGACAGTAGGAGAGAGAGGGAGATGGTGTCTTTGAAACACGTTTGTCTCTTAGGAACTCTACGATAAGGACGTTGCCATATACAAAAACGAAAAAAAATACATTGTACTGAGTCGGAAGATGATCAGTCCGAAGTAGCAGACATGTCTTCTCCATCATCTGTATCGTCATCATCAGCAGCAGCAGCAGAACTGAATATCGCGTGTTCATGCGAGGAATGTACAAGTTTCCTTCGTCCAATCTTCCCTTCGGACTCACACTACCCGCGAGACTTCTCACAATTCATCTTTCCACCCGCTTCTACCTCCCAGGAGCCGCCGTCGATATGGATCGACAAGCTATCGTTAGCAGCATACGACATGCTGATAACCGCCCCAACACCAGCATCGCAAAACTCCGATAATACCAGTCACCGCAAGCGACGCAGCCTCGCTATTTCCACACAAGATCCCGACACCGACATACGCAGTGCTTTTCCAAAGACACCGGGGACCTTGCGCTGCTCGAATGTCCATTGCAGCACCCGTCTTCCAATTAGCTCAATGTTGGCTGCTACAGCACGGTTTCCTGCAGATCCTTTGTGTGCAGAACACGAGGAGCAAGCTGTTCGAGAAGGACGGGATGCGGCTCCCCTCGAAAGCGTTCTCATGTTGGACCAAGCCTGCAGAAGCAACTACGGGAACAGAACTAGTCGGTCGGGCTTGGGTAGCAGGAGTAATAGTTCAGCTTCCTGGAGCAGTTTGGCTTCTTGGGAAGGTGACGATGTGGAGTTTGAATGGGGTGCAAAGGCATTTGATTCGAAGCTTTGCTGGTGAATTGCAGTTATCATCGCTGTCGCTATTGAGCAATGGGAACTTTTTGGCATCGATTGCGTCGCTGGTATTGCGGAAGTCGTAAGTGACTCGTCGTATATGAGTTGTTGGTGAGCTATCGCAGCACTGTAGGATGGCCATGGTACTAGAGTTTGAAATTGCGCACGCAGAATCTGCTTTGCCATGGAGGAAGGGTTATCGAGCTTTGCCTCGTTTTGAGGAGATTGTAAATGGCATTATTAGCAGTGAAATCAAATAGCAAAGAAGATCTATTTTCTCAAAAGACGTATGCACACCATATGGCGTGAAAAGCGAACTAACAACTTGGATGAATGAATGAATCCGCACTTTCCCATCGAATGCTGGTATATAGCATGAGCTGAAGCTGCCCCGAGTAGGAAGCGTTTCATCGACATAAGCCACGTTGATGTCTTGAGCACCTGAACTTCGCATTCATGTATCAAACGAGATAGTCGAACTCGTCGTATACATCGTATTGGGTCTCACTACCCATCTCATGCATCCACTGCATGTGTTCAGCGACCATTTCGTCGAACAAATAATCCGGGAGTGAGTCTTCAAGCCATGCTTGCTGCATTGACGCATCGCAAAGGTACAGGTGCCGATATAGCTCCAGTTCATAGGCCTCGTCTTCATCCTCATCGGGCGCCATGATCCAGCCATCGCCTACTCCGGTCACAGCCAGCTCATCCCTCTCGTCAGTTAGCGCTGTGATCCAGACATCTTCCCTCTCGAAATAGGATCTAGAGTTCTTGCCGTGGCCATAGCGGCGACCTGTCTGGGCATGGCGATAAGGCTGCCTGGCGTATTGTGGGGGAGCTGAGAGAGAGCCACCCAAACGGGTGTGGAAGGAGCGGTGTGCGGCTGTGCTGCTGCGAGTCGCAGGAACGCCTAGCCCATCGATTGCGATTCGTTCCCCTGGAAAATCTGGAACAAACGAAAATGTGGAAATGTGACCCGAAGAGGTCCCGAGATGCTGGTTTGCTGACTCAGTCTCGCTTATCCATAGATCGTATTCGTCGTCGTTGTGGTCAAACTCAATATCAAAGAACTCAAATCGGCAGAGGGGGCATGTTCGCTTGGTTTGCATCCACTCCGCAATGCAAGCGTCACCGAAAACATGCCCACAAGGGAGCTGGAGTGGCACCTCGGCATATTCGCCTCTGGTGGACGTGTAGTAAGGGTCTAAACATATGCAACACCGCTGTGGCTCGTCTGGGCCCACTCTCACCGGTGCATACGCTTGACGTCTTTTTTGGTGTCTGTGGCTGGGCATGTCTGAGTAGGAAGCTGGGGTCCAATAAGGCTGGCTGATTCATGAGGTTTCCACTTGGCGTGAACGCGATCGTCTGGTACCAGCCTAAAGGTACCAGAGGAACAAAGGCGGGGGTGAAGTAAGACCCTAACGCCGGTCATTGTACATGGAGCTTCGCGTTCCATACCAGACAATCTCTAGAGGACGAGTACCATGGTACACTGTGCGGAGCACAACGTGCCGCACTTTCCGATCGAACGTCTCTTAGTCAACCGCGAACAGTG